ATATATCACTATGACAGATATTTTAAAAACGAAGAACTTAACATTTTGTGTGTTAGTTATATTTTACTTGATTAATTTGACAATTTACATATTAAATGCTGAGAAAGTATTCTAGTGTGCTGCTGGATTTTCCAACTAATTTATATTAACTTATTTAATGTTAGTGTTTGTAATCTTAGGCTTGACTATCATAGTGCTTGAAAATAAAAGCTTAGAATGTGTTTCATTCCAAACCTTTAGAAAACTCGTAAGTAAGCACTCTAAAGTTAGTAAAAGATATCTCACTAACACTGTTAGTTTGGAGAATAGCTACTGACTTTAAATTTCTAGATGAGTTTTGGTGCTGAAATATATTTGATACAAAAGAAAAAAATTAACTTTTAAACTTGTTCCATTGGGTAGAGATCAGCCACAAAACAAGCCTAATTTAATGGAAGTCATTCAAGATTAAGGTTAAAAAGGAAAGCTTGAGTCAAAAACTAACCTCCTTTTAATGTTCTCTTTGTGACTCACTCATTATTCAGTTTAAATAAGTCACTTACATTTTTGTGACTTAGATTTCTAGATTATGAAATGGAGCTAATTCAGAGCTCCCATTTAATACTTTTATTAGAACTTAAAAGAAAAATCTGGTTTTATTACAGATCAGTAGATTGAGATCTTTAAACTGCTATCCCTAAAGAGATGTATATTTTTTCCTACATAAAATTGATTTTTGTGGCAGGGTCAATAAATCTGAGATATTTTGGTCTCTGTACCCCTCATGGGAGACTGTTTTTATCTGTGTGGCAGTGCAGTTTTCTACAGAATTTTAAAGAAAGCTGGACTCATTTGTGGTGCTTCCCCTTTTCCAAAACCTCACCTTCCCACACCTCCCTCTCCCCAATAAGCTAGATGAGCAGAGGCCAGGGGTTGGTAATTGATGGCTCAGAAGTTGCCTGCTTCTGTGCTGGATTAGTGAGAAATTCAATCTGAAGAAATGAAACATCACTTTATTCATATGGGAAATAGCTGTTCCTTGGAAATGTTTAGGGCTTGGTAATTAACAAGCTTGTAGAGCTTTGTGTACGGGCCAATGTACTCGCAACACAGCAACAAAACAGAGGTGTGAGAACTTCTGTCTCATCCAGAGTGGCTGAAATGGAGCATTAACACAAAGCAAGGCTTTTCTCCCCAAGGAGGGTACAGCGGTGAGCTTAGAGCCTCTTTCTATGTGTTTAAGACACAGTCACATGTTTCGTGTTCAGAAATGGCTTCTCATGTTAAATAACTTAGTTCCCCCATGTATCTTCTTGAGGCATGGGCCAGATGGATTATGTCCCATTTTACAATGACCGATGGAAAATTACTACACTCTTTTATTGCTAAAAATGCCTCAGTGACTCAGTACTTTAGGGCTTATGCATAGATAATGTGATAAAATAAAGGCATATGGTAGATGAAAGGGTTTGACTCCCTTTGAGGTTTGATTTTGAGATTTTTCAATTGGTAACTTTCCCACTGTTTGAAATCCTGAACCTAATCCACATTTTAAAACTATCTCAATCCTGTTCTTTAAAAGGCAAAATGAAAGTGATTTGGAACCTTCCCTTTTTTGTTTACTTGATTAAATATTAATTTTTTGCCTTCTGTTTTTAAAGGCAGTTTTCTGGTAATGTTAGAAAGAAGTTAATAGAAAGTTCTTATTTCACCGAGTTTATCATTGACATAGGAAGGAAAAGATATTATAGGATATTGATAGATAGCAAATATATTACATAGATGGGTGTGTTAAATATGTTAACAGGGACAAGAGAACACTTCTGGCTCGGATGGTCAGGGAATACCGGGGAAGAAAACAGAATTTCTATGAGCCTTGCAGAGTGGGAAAACCATGAATAGCTGTGGAGAAAGGGACATTTCATTGGCCAGGGGTCATAGAAGCAGGGTCCAGCACGGCACACTCAGGGAAGGGACAATGAGTAGACAATTGCATGGTGTTTAAGAGCACAGGTTGTGGAACCAGACTGCCTGCTTTAGGGTTGCCCTTTATTTGCTGTTTGATGTTAGGCTAGTTACTTAACCTCTCTTTGCCTCAGCTAGAGTAAAAACATAGTACTGATCATGCCTACATCATAGGGCTGTTGTAAGGATTTGAGAATAGTGCCTTCAGGTAAGGATGGCACAAGTTAAATGTTAAATAAAGATAATTGAGTTTGTTGATAAAGGTGGTTATTTGGCTGAGCAGAGAAGACAAGATTGTAAAGAAGACTGGCATGAACTCGTGGAGGGACTAGACTGTCAGTGGTGCATGTAGCTTTCAGGGAGGAGTTATGAAAGCTTTGTAAGCAAGAAAATATGAGCAGAGTAGTGTATTTGGAAAAATAATCTAGCAGATTAGGTTGAAAAAGAGATGGCAGCAGACAGACTGGTTAGGAGACTTATAATTGTCCAGACTTGAGGGATTCAAGTGTTAGTCGCTCAGTCATGTCCGACTCTTTGTGACCCCATGGACTGTAGCCCACCAGGCTCCTCAGTCCATGGGATTCTCCAGGCAGGAATACTGGAGTGGGTTGCCATGCACTTCTTCAGGGGATCTTCCCAACCCAGGAATTGAACCCAGGTCTCCTGCATTGTAGGTGGATTCTTTACCGTCTGGGCCAGCAGGGAAGCCCAGGACTCAAATGCCAAAGCATGGGTTTGGATTAATGAACAGACCTTGAACACATTTCCAGTGGACCAGCTGTTAGGGTCTGGGAACTGACAGGGACAAAGGAGCCAGAGGACCATTCCTGAGTAAGTGGGAGAATTCAGACACCTCGGATTTCTGAGGATGAGCTGGTAATGCGTCCTAGCAGATGAAACCCATGTTGCGTATCTTGAAGCCAATGACAGGAACACGATTTGGCATTGAAAATGCTTATCTGCATTTCTCTGAGAGCAGTTTGGCCTGCATATAGAACCTGAAGGAGAGTTGTATTGTATATGTTAGTGAGAGAACAGGAAGAAAGGATATTCTTTCTACAGTATGGATTACAGTATGGATATTGCAGTAATTTTCTTTCCCATTTCTGTAAGAGAAAGTATAAGTTAGGAAACAAGGAAGAACATACACAGTATGGGTATTAGAGTAATTTTCTTTCCCATTCTGTAAGAGAAAATGTGAGCCTAAAACATGTTCCTAGTTCAGTTGAATCTCTTGAAACATGGATACTAGTTGAGCTCCCAGCCTATAAAATGCCATTTCACAGCTAAGGTGCCAGGCAGAGCGCTGGAGGGGATGTGCTAGGTGTTTATAAATGCTGACTTTCTGGATCTGAAATTGCAAGTAGGCTTTATTTTCGTGAGGAAGAATTAGTTTTTCAGTTATCCTAATTAAGTTTATCCAGTTCTAACCACACCTTTAATAAGAATCCTGTCGATGTACACACATGCATATATAACTGTACACACATACATACACACATCCTGTTAATTTGTATTATTTATATGCTTTTCTTAAAAAATTGTTTCTTTTAAACCATTAGAATTTATAAGCCTTTTCTCTTCCACTACATTTTAATCACCCACAGGTGAAGAATAGGCCTTCTGTTGGTTTTAATCCTTTACAGATTTTGCAGTTGTTCATTCATGTATTGATTCCAGTTTACTCATTCATTCGTTCATTCTAGACACTGTGTTAGTTTCTGGGGCGAGGAATAAAACCTAGTTCCTGCCCTCAGGGAGCATCCTCTGTAAAGTCATTCACAGAAAATTATGGGAACATGGAAATGAGACATTAATCTGGATTATGTGGAGGGGCAGTGGGGAGAGGTGGTTGGGGGAGGACTTTAGAGCAGTTGACTCCTGGGTGGCATTGTACCAAGTAGTGGTTACTAGGTGAATGGGGGAAAGTAGAGAAATGAGACTGAAGACAGGCTGTGAATAGACAGATGCCTCACAGGGACAGTGAGGCAGTCCGGTATTCACTGTAGTAAAGAGAAAGGCAGAGGATGGTGACAAGTGAGGCTGTGGGGAAGATGGAGACCACTGCAGGGACCTATATGTGGCACTGAGAAGCTTGGACTGCACTCACTGCTGTAAGAAGAGACAGATCCTTGGAATGATTTATGCAGAATTCTGGTCAAGTAAGATTTCAGTCCGCAGGGGCAGCGGAGAAGAAGACATTTGGTGTTAGTTCAGGTGGGAGGCCTTGAGGACATAAACCAGGACAGTATTGTAGGAATAGGCATCGGGGGCAAAATCAGGAACCAGGAATGAAGAATCAGCAGAACCCATTATAACCACAGGTGAGGGAGAGGAAAGCCCTAGGATGATTCTTTTGTATCTCCCTTATATGACCGGTGACCAATTTCACAGTATTCTTAGGCAATACAGGGCAGGAGAGAATATAGGGGGTTCATTTTTGTTTCTGTCCTCAACACATTGGCATCTGTAATGTACCTCTGATACATTTTGAGTTAAATATAATTAATGGTTATCAGAGACATCTGGATGACTAGAAATATTTTACCATCTGTATTCGATATTAACCATATCTCCTCTGGAAAACATTCTCTCCTGTCATCTATCATAACTCTTCACTGGATTACAATCTTTGAATTTTTCTATTTAACTCTGTAGTCTCAGTCCAGCATTTGATCCATAATCTCTCCATAAAGTGTGAGTGAATGAGTGAAGAAGTGAGTGGATAGATTATTTTTTAAAGTGAAGTGTTTTTTGAGCAGGGGCGCTTCCCAGGCAGTGCTAGTGGTAAAGAATCCGCCTGCCAATGCAGGAGACTGAAGAGATGTGGATTTCATCCCTGGGTTGGGAAGATCCCCTGGAGGAGGAAATGGCAACTCACTCCAGTATTCTTGCTTGAAAAGTTCCATGGTCAGGGGCGCCTGGCAGGCTGCAGTCTATGGGGTCACTGCGTCCGATAGGACTAAGCGCACATGTATGCAATGTTATCATTTGATTATTAGGGAAAGCTTATATTTGGTTTATTCTCATTCTGGTTCCCTTGTTTTAACTCCTAGCACCTTCCGCTGGAAGAGTCGTAAGCAGTGGACCATCCACAGGAGTCGTGGCACCAGCCAACTCAGCCAGAGGGCAGCCTCAGCCCAGTGATGAGGACACTTTGGTGCAAAGGGCCGAGCATATTCCCGCAGGGAAACGAACTCCAATGTGTGCCCACTGCAACCAGGTTATCAGGTTGGTCATTTGATTTTAAATTTTTCTTGAGAAGGCTTAGTACCAATGTTGATTTTTTTTTAATATTTTGAAAGATTAGAAATTTTATTAGTGAGAATATTTATTTCTATGTAATAGTTATTATGGAAGTAGGTATGTATGAATATATTAATAGATATTTGTTAGAACCTGTTTTAATGAAAAGTAATTCTGGGCTCTGTGAAAATAAAACTAAAAATACCAATTGAGTCAGTTATTAGTTCCTATCAGAACTAAGAAAAATAATGATTAATGTGGCATTTCAGAGAATAATGAAATATTAAGACTCAAAGGGACCCCAAAGAACTTCATTATTTCACAAATTAGAAAAGTGAGGACTCTCATTTAGATGAAAAGTAACTAATGATGTAAGATAAAGAACCTTGAGCCCTAGAGAAAAGATTGCATTTTCAAACTAAGCCTTGAAAGATATAATTACCTTTGGATCTATTCATAAACGCTTTGCTTTTTGGATTAGGTTATAACATGCTTCTTTAAAATATTTTTTATCCAAATGTATTTTATTGTTTCTTAAATTCCAAAAAGCAGGAAAGGCTAAGCTCTTAAGTGAGTGTACTACACTAGCACTTATTAAACCTCAGCGTTTCTGAACAAGTGACTTTTCAAATGTTACGAGGTTTAAGTGTGAATGTTAATACAGGGATCCCACCAGAGGACCTTGCTGCTTGTGTGAGTTGCTTGCTTTCCCTAACAGATGATTACTTGACATGACTGCTCAAGCTCCCTCCTCATTTTTAATTTACCCTGTTTTGTAATAGTTGAAACAACAGTGTCTCTAAAGTTGAATAAGGTTAAGACTTACTTGCATGTTCCCCTCTTGTCTTACATAATTATTGCTTAGGGTAATGTTTCTAGTTACTACTTAAAATGGAGCTCAGGGAGTCTCAATATCTTATTTAAGAACCAAATATAAATACCCTTCCCCTTAACCCACTATTAAATAATAAATATGTCAAGAATACAACACAGAGTATGTGGGTTTTTTTTTTTTAAGTAGCTTTTGCCTCTTAAAGGTAGTCCGCATTCATTGTGACATTTCCAAACTATAGGAAAACAGAAAGCAAAAATAAAAATTCATATATAATTACACCTCCCAAGATACCCACAATTAGTTCACAGTTTAAAACATACTTACACACAAACACACAAGGACAGATGTTGTTTTCTAGAAATGGAATCATAACATGCTATTTGATAAGCTGTTATTTTTCACTTAGTTTGTATTTTCCACAGTAAGTACCTGTTGTATGAGAATTGACCTGCAGCCGTGGCAGGAGCTATAATGGTTGGGGTGAGAAGGAGGATATCTGTAGCGGTTTTTGAAGTCTAGTGTAATATCTGACACATGAAAGGCATTTGGTGAATGTTTAACCTGAACAGATCATACATGACTCTAGACCCACTCATCCTTTGGTCATAGTATCTTTGTGGTTAGAGTCACTTTTTTTTTTTTAAAGTACTACTATCAATGGGTCTTACAGAAATATTTAAACTAGTATAGAATCTAGTGTGCTACTGCTTTTTCTCAATAAATAAAACAATGTTTCAAATTACTAACTCCATGTAGGGTTATGTTTTTAGAGTTAATGTTAATAAAAATAAGTTTTGACTTATAACATTGTTTCTGTAAGTTATGATGCTTTGGTTTCCTAGACTGGTATAAGAGGATAATATGATTTAGATAAAAACACCTTTTATGGAGATAGGTTATGGAGATAGGAGTCAGTGCTGTTAAGTGTGCTGTTGTAAGCAAGTAATTACTGGATGGGTTAACAAAATGTGAGATCATATCAGTTTCTGATTCTTGTTGTCTGATCATCAAATTCTGTGATATCCTATGATCACCACTGCCAGCACGTCTGAAAAGTAGTATAGAGAAAATATGAAGATCAAAATAAAAATTACCTCCCCCCACCCCCACAACTGCCTTGGTTTCAGTTTTTAACGCTACACCAGAATATGGTTTTCATGCACTATCTTCTGCCAAGTAAAATAAATACTATGTTAAAAACATGAATGGCCACCACTTATTGCCCTCTCATCTGTTAAATTTTATATTGCTCTGGATTATCCCAGCGCTTATCAGTTAAGCATTAGAGCTTCATTTACTCGAGAAGTTAATAGGAACAGGGATTAGCTCATGTCAAGATCCTATTACAGTAATTAACATAGCATATTTGCTTGGTGTTCAAATGCTGAAGCTGCTTGAATAGAGTGTGGTCAGTTCAGAGACCTAGGCAAAGCAGATTTTCCAGTTCTTGGCTGCAGTGTCAGTATCACTTACCAAAGCTCGGAGGCATCAGATCAAGCGACATTCTCCTGGACACCTGTTTTAGAAACAGGCTGCAGTTGCAGGCTTGACACTTCCAGTATAGAATATTGTAACCTGGCAGTTTAAGATTATTGGTAATTTAAATTTGTTTTGTTTGTTTTCCACAGTGTCGTTTATATTATGTTTTTATAATTTATATTTTTTAATATTTATCTCCTAAATGTTTCAAATTTTCAAAAACATTTTTAATTAAAGGCAATCTAAGGCAAATTTTATGTTTTATTGTTTTCTTAGAAAAATTTTTGGACAGTTTCAGAAACTTGTATCTCTGATGTCAGTACTGAACTGATTATCTCTTATTGAACATACTTGTAGCTTAAAACTCCATTGATCATTTCCATTTAATGTTGAAATTTTTGGTTTATGTGAATCTGGGAAAGATTATGAATGTTTTTCCTAAATTGTACTATTTCATGGCAAATAGATGGGGAAACAGTGGAAACATTGGCTGACTTTATTTTTTGGGGCTTCAAAATCACTGCAGATGGTGATTGCAGCCATGAAATTAAACGATGCTTATTCTTTGGAAGGAAAGTTATGACCAACCTAGACGGCATACTAAAAAGCAGAGACATTATTTTGTCAACAAAGGTCCGTCTAGTCAAGGCTGTGGTTTTTCCAGTGGTCATGTGTGGATGTGGAAGTTGGACTGTAAAGAAAGCTGAGCTTTTGAACTGTGGTGTTGGAGAAGACTCTTGAGAGTTCCTTGGACTGCAGAGAGATCCAACTAGTCCATCCTAAAGGAGATCAGTCCTGGGTGTTCATTGGAAGGACTCATGTTGAAGCTGAAACTCTAGTATGTTGGCCACCTGGTGTGAAGAACTGACTCATTTGAAAAGACCCTGTTGCTGGGAAAGATTGAGGGCAGGAGGAGAAGGGGATGACAGAGGATGAGAAGGTTGGATGGCATCACCGACTCAATGGACATGGGTTTGGGTAAACTCCGGGAGTTGGTGATGAACAGGGAGGCCTGGCGTGCTGCGGTTCATGGGGTCGCAAAGAGTTGGACATGACTGAGCGACTGAACTGAGGCAAAACTCTGATTAGCTAGTTGCCTTTTACAGATGGATAGATTGTTACATTTTGGGAAAGTCTACTGAAGTTCTGATTAAGTTTGCTCTAGAACATTTCCAGTCCATTTATGATAGAAGTACCATTTTTTAATTCGTACTGGTGAACAGATTGACTATTTGGAGTGCTGATATAATAGGGGAACAGAAAATCAGGATACTAGTATAGCCAAAGCCATATTTAATTTCTCTGGTAGAATAGGCTTATGAAAATACTAGCTTATTTTTGGGCTGTTATATCTAGAGACATTAAAAATCCACTTGTATTATATGGAGTTAAATGAACCATTCACATTTAGCTGCTCAGCATTTTGATGAAAGAAACAAGGGGTTCATGGTGCTTGAATTTCTTCCTTGCTATGGAATACTTAAAAAAAAAAAAAGGAGCCATGATGCTATTGTCCCATCTTTGCCTACAGTCCAGCACCAGAAAATCACATTGAGACAACTCATTGTTTATTCCAGTGACAGAGAAAATTTTAACAGTATTGATTTGTTTCTTACTTACTTGTTTTCAAACTTTTCTCATAAGGAGGGCCATCTCAGTTACCCTGGAGAGAAGCCAGCAGAGTTTTTGCCTGTCTTAGCATCCATTTCTATCTCTGAGAACTCCATTATTAATAGGTTTTATTTATTGTCCCTTCTGGTTATGATTTTACTTGAAAATAAAAGACTTCTTGACTTAATGTGTTAGTCCCTCAATTTACGGAAACAGCAAAGACATAGATCTTAAGAGCAAGGCGTAGACCAAGATTTCAGACCTATTATAGGGGAAAAATGGGAAGAACAAGATGTTCAGCATTTATATGATGTAGTGTTATGGTGCCATTATTATCCTGTTTTTGGATAGTAATTGTTTTATGTATTCTTGCGTGCATGCTTGGTTGTTCAGTTGTATGCGACCCTTTGGACTGTAGCCTGCCAGGCTCCTCTGTCCATGGAATTTCCCAGGAAAGAATACTGGAGCAGGTTCCCATTTCCTACTCCAGGGAATCTTCTCAACCCAGGGATTAAACCCACGTCTCCTGCATCTCCTGCATCTCCTGCATTGGTAGGCGGATTCTTTACTACTGAGCCACCCAGGAAGCCCTTAATATATTCTTAGCATATGCCAAATACTGTATTATAATTTTACCTGAATCATTATTAAATTCTCATAACCTTGTAAGGCAGTTATTATAATTGCCTCAGTTTCACATATGAGAAAACCAAGGCACAGAAAACTTACATATTTGCTGAAGTTACATAGATAGTAAATGGTAAAACCTGTATTTGAGCCCAGATCTGTGTAACTTTATATTCATGCTTTTAACTTGCACTACTTAGAAAAATGTTATAGTATTATATTATGATAATTAAGAACTATAGAACTCTAAATGAAGTTCTTTTACTTTATGTAGAGAAAATACATATCAAGATATATTAATGTGTTTCCATTTCAGTTCAGTCGCTCAGTCGTGTCTGACTCTCTGCGACCCCATGAACTGCAGCACTCCAGGCCTCCCTGTCCATCACGAACTCCCGGAGTTTACCCAAACTCGTGTCCATTGAGTCGCTTA